TCTAGTCCGCCAAGGGCCAGCTGACACGGAGCAGCGCTCTTTCCGTTGTCCGTTTCTTCCATCGGTCGCTCGCCCGGAAAGATTCGCGCTACGCGCGGGCTACCCCCCGCGATCGCATCCACCCCTCCGGTGGCCTCGGGTCGGAGTATCGGTTGCGTACCCCCAACCGATCGATCGCGCGATCATGAAGACAGTCGGCCCGCCGACGGATTTCCATCGATGTCGCTCGTCATTTCTCGTGATGTTGACGTGATCTCGTGAAGGAAAACTCTTGTGATACCGATGTGTCGGGAGTGATCCGAATCCTCGTCTCGTCCAGAATCATTTGGAAGATTCAGGATTCTGGATCCGGATCCGAGGCGGACTACCATCAATGAATGGCCTTGATCTGTCCCGGTCCGTCGTGGATTGCAAGATGAATGGTAAGTCAAACAAATTTCATTGATGACGATCAACGTTGAAGAATATTCACAATGATGACAATTGAATTATACAAGATTTAGGTCGTATATAATTCTCAGAACGAAACGTGCGATTGATCAAAATTCTCGATATCCGGCGTCACAGTGGAGATAACAATAACAGTTGCAACAATAATCTTGAGTCAATATATTGTTATTAAAGATATTTCTTCATTAGTATGCATATTTGCGAAAATAAATTTAAGCTGAATTAAATTATGCCTCTACTTAACCGAACATGTCAGCCAATTTCCACGAAATTGATATAATACAAATAAATTGGTTTCGTAATTGTTTATCTCATTCTTGATTATAAAATCAATATTAAGATTGGCGTAATCGCCTTTTAAAGCGTCAGATATCATTACGCGGTCAAACGATATTCATTATGAGTTCGATCCTCTTACAAAGTTCGACTTGTTGACACAAAGTGCCCTTCCGTTCGTTCCATTACGTGCAAATATCGGCTAAGGAAGCTTGACCGCAGCCTGTCCGGAAACCAGACTCCGGAGATTCGATCTTCTGTCCAATTTGGCCTGCCTCGGCCTGGTAATTCCGTGACACGCTGATAACCTTATCGACGTCTCACGATACTGCTCCTGGCCGCAGGATCCGACCGCGTCGTTTTTCTAATTAACCCCAATCGCCAGTCCGCGCCTGATGATAGGGAGATCTGATACTGTCAGCGAGATTGGCCATTAATCGCACCGTTTGCAATGGAGCTTTCGGAAACACCGGCGCGTCGCCTCTCGCCATCTCGTGTTCTACAATATGATACATTAACAAACGTCATGTTCTCCAGAGGATCCCCGTATCGCCAGGATGTCCTGTGCGGTCAGAGCTAACGCGGTCTGCACGAGCGCGAACGTATAATTCGCGGTGCAATCGCTCTTCCGACATCTCTCTAGTCGCCAATTTGTTTAATTATCTTTTCCGGAAGTCACACTTGCGTTTCTTGAATCTCGTAGTAATCTCCGTGTCCTGCTTCCCTATACCGCTCCAGATGCATTACTCCAAATTGTTATTTACTCACTTATAAATACTTATAAGGATTGATCAACATATACAATTAATTTTACTTACATAAATAATTAATGTAGGAAGAATTAAAAAAAGTAAGGTTACAAGGTAAAATTAATTTTGACTATTATGTGTGCTAGTAGTTATTTTCCGTGTTCAATAATTATATTTTAGTAAAGAAGAATACATAAAGGTATATAATTTGACATGACATTTATGAACTTTATTTTATTTTTTCCTATATTCATAATATTCCTTATTTTCATAATATTTGGACGCGCATATTTGGCCTCGCGTATCTACTTAATAGTAGATTAATCGATCATTGGTTGATCGTTTGTTAAACCCTTCGATAGTGAAACGTCAACTGCCTATACATTCGGCGCATGCAACTATACATATAGCAATCAATAGACGAATTCACAAAGTATCGCACACGCGCATCAATCATCGATCACAATAGACCCATGCAATGCAAAAGAGTCATTTGCTTTATAACTCGCTAACTACTTCACCGCCATGGATAAACATATATTATTATTTTCACAGTAAATATCATGTGACGCACAATGGCCACTGATAGAATAATTTTCATTAGCCGCCTATCCGCCATCGCCAATAATATTCTATAACTATTGTTAATTTTAAAATAGCCCATAGTGTCCCCATAAGATTCTATATATAGGCTTGTAATAAAATAAAACGTGACTCTCTCATTTTGGGAACATAAAAAAGGACGTTAAAAAAAATTGTTTCTCACCAAAATTAATAAATTTATTATAGAGACTGATGTCTGCTTATATTCTTTAGATTTAAATAGCTATCAGAAATTATTCGTCCGCGGAGGAATGTCTCAATTAATATAAAAAGAAAGATTCTTCCCACGATTAATTCGTCTAGGGTGTAAACCGCGCTAGAGCGGCACTTCGCTCTAATCATCTTCAGGGCCTCTCGAGCCACTATCATCAGGGATAATGTCACGCATGGTTCAACAAGTACACTCGTACTTCTCTGTCAAGGGAGAAAGTATTCCGGCACTTGTGTATCCCACAGGAGTCAAAGACCCCTGGCTTTCAAGGGTTTTCCAAATATTGTTGTTGTATCATATCGGCTACTCACCGTGCGAGGATCTGGAGTGCATATCCCGGGTACCCTCGCGTGATTAGGTCTCTTCTTTACGATCATCTCCGGTCATGAAGATCCGCTAAATCGTGTTTACTCTGCCGATTAAGGCCGAATTGGGATAATAGTATCGTACGGTATGTGGCAGTTATACTTATCTATGTTGCTCTGGAGTGTACTATGATTGCTTCTCAATTGAGTTTTAATCTTCGCTTTCTAAACAAATAAATATTATATAAAAATTTAGAAGCAATGCAATATTGTAAGAAAACGTTAATTTACAAATGTCTTTATCTGGAAAAGTCTTTTCAGTTAGTCGTGATAAATATTTAACAATTATGTTAAGATTGCTCTATTTTCTATTTTTTATAAGAGATTAACTAATTTTGCCTCTTAATTACGATATTGATTATAATTATTTATAGTTTTCTGTGTAATAAGATAATTTAGGAATCAAAATCTATGGACTATTATATATAAGCGATTTATTTCTTTCCATCTAACCGTGACGCATCGATATCGACGCTCGTAGACGTTCTGTCTCTTTGAGCTTCGTGTCGACAAGCACGCCTTGCAGGATCACCGTTTTCTTTTACGACTCGCCCGCGCCGACGTAAGTCGATGGATCCTTAAGTCTTTGTTTACTCTCTCGATTAGAATGGAATTGAAGCCGGCATCGTAAAATTGATATTTTTAACGTTTTATTGCGGTATACGACATGTATGGACCGCTTTTCATACATCCAGCTGAATCTAATGCCGTAGAAGTATTATCTGCTTCTTCTCTGCGTTCTATTTAACTTTTAACAGGAAGACGCGCAACAAAGCCTGTAATTCAATTATTTAACAGCGTCGTCGCGATATCAAAATTAATCGTGAGAAAGCGTTGATCGTAAAATTATAGTGTTTCCTTCCCTTCCTCTCTATCTTTCCACGACAATTTGTCTTCCTTTTCGATGCACCTGCCAGCTCGTCGCTAAAACGATCATTTGCTTAGTCGCCGATTCACACGGAACTCTCGCTATTTGCAGAGGACTCTCGATCTTCGCAGGTTTCTCGGCTGGCTCGAGGAATAAGAAACGCGCCTAAAGTTCACAGTTTGTTTTTAGATAGCCGATACACTGCGTGGATATCTTTCGATTCGGAGATAAGACCGCCGTTAAAAAGGGCCCGTCGTATCCGGCTAAAGCGAGTTGTACAAACAAAATCAGATTCGTGCGACGTCTCTTTGTCACTTCGAACGCGATATAATTGCCACGAGTAGATAATAAATTAATGTTTTCATTAGGAATGTATGTTGATACGTAATTAAATGCGTTTAAAACGCATACATTCCTTAAATAAATTTATGCTTTTTTAAATACTATCGCTATCATATTACGCGCATCTCGTATGTTTTTTATCATATATTTTTGTCGAGAGCAACCAGCCGCGTTTGCAACAAAATAATCGCAACTTATTTAATAATAAACGTAGGATAGATCCCCTTTATCCCTGAATATCTTGCACCGTATGACATCACGACGCATCAAAAACAGCCGACAAGAGGACAATAAAATCCTTATCACGGCAAACATCCTCGGCTTGGGTGTCATTGCGTGCACGCGGCAGCTGCGCATGAAGAAACGTGCCGCAGATAGCGCTTACTCCAATTGACACTTGTCCTTGTGTGCCTAGGATTCCGTCAAGTCGTAAAGAGAGAAGGGAAATGAGAGGGTCCCGCAAATACAAATTTATTTTACCTCTCTCGTGCAAAATCATTCATGATTTTCCGACACCTTCATCGAAACGCAAAGTTTACACGCAAAGCCGCGATCTTTCCCGCAACAAAACGCTCGTACGTGCGTTTAATATCACGAACTGCGACTTTATCGCGGGAACAACGAGCTACCGCTTTCTTAGAAATGACCAATCAATACGTCACGTTCCGGAAAGTCGTCTCTCATCATAGTTCTATGTACGAACCTTTTTTAGTAAACACGACTTTCGCAAATAGCGGATAATATGTTATTGAAAATGTAATAAATATTTAATATAATCTTTCAAATAATTGACATGTGTCAAATAAAGATTTTTATTAAAAAAGAAAATCAACGAGCCTAATTCAAATTAAAAAAAAACAGCCTTAATTTTATTTTGATACATTGAATAAAGAAAACATTATTTAATCAAAGATATTTTTTTAGTCTTAAAAAGCAAAAATATAAACTAGTTATATAGAAACTCCGGAAAAATACTAAAATCATAGTTAAAAATTAAATTTAGTTAAAAATAAATTATAATGACATAATCTCTCTTACGAACGTCGTTATGGTATTTACAAATAAATTTCATTCCATTCCTCAAGTATTTATTCAAGATTCACTGGTTTACATCTTGGCTCATTTATACTCTCTAGGAAGCAGCGACGAAGGCGAGTCGACATCGGGTGCGACTGGCGGGGGTGGCGGCAGCGAGAACGCAGAAATGGAGGAGAACGGATCGACTCGCACGAGTAGCAACAGCAGCAGCAACAATCCCGTGTACAAAGATTTGAAGTTACTTCAGGCCGGTGGCGAGGTTCCGCAGGAGTACAATCCGCAATCGCGGACAGCTTATCAGCAGCGCGGATACTCGCCGGGGATAGACCGACAACGGAATTACGAGAAGGAGCAACTTCAACCGTCGCCGTCTTCTAGGGAGGAAGAGAGGAAATGGCCAGCCTGGGACTATGAGAAAAACACGCGGAAAGAGTACTCGAGGTCGCGGGATTACAATGAATACCGTGAGTCTTACAGTCCCGTTCAAAGGAGTCTTCAAGCTCACCACGAGTTCATATGGCATTTGTTTTAGCGTTGTTATAGTTGCAAAATGAAAAACATATAAAATTCTTTAGATTTATATTCGAATGATTAGATTTCTAATAGAATAGATTGTTGTATTATCTTGCGATTATGTGTAGTCTATGATCGCTCATGAACTGATGATTTCTCGATAAATATTCGATAAATATACTCTGACGTTTGTCTGTGTAGAGGATGCGATAAAGCAGGAGCCCAAGGATCACTCGAGTCGCGAGTGGGTGTCACCGGTGCCGGAGGTCGAGGTCGGCGGTTCGGCACCCGGAGGCCCGTACGTTCGCGCACGCAAAGACATCCCTCGTGGCGCGAGATTCGGTCCGTTCCTCGGCAAATGGGCGAGTGAGCCTTTCAACCCCCGTTACGCGTGGGAGGTGAGTCGTATATTTCTTCTCGCGGTGTATATAGATGTGTGTACGTGTTTATCGTTTCCGCCCGCTTTCGAATTCTCTCGAGTGGAGTCGAGGTAGTCGAGGCGATCGTAAAGCGAATAGGTCGGTGCTCGATCAGTTCAAACTGACCTTTTGAAGCGAAAGATGTTTGCTGCGCTCTCAATGTTGCGAAATAGTCTCCCAACGCGGAACTTTTTATCGGATCCAATCAATGCTGCAGGTATATTTTTTCCAATGCTTGCCGACTAACGAAAAGAGCATTTACTTATTAGTCTAATGCGAAGAATCAATATGGAAAAAGTAAGATTATTTAAGTAAGAGAGAACACTTTCATAATATTTAAACATATTAAACATATTTATTATAATATGTAATTATATGTAATATATTATATTTATATAATATAATATATCTATACATATATGTATGTACGTATAAAATACATACTTATATATAGGAAAGAATCTAGGATTAGATTCTAGGACTGTTTACCTTTTTTCACGCTCAAATACTAGCGACTTTTCTCATCAATACGTTTACACATTTATTCGAGATTCACGAGGATTCACACGCGAATCTTATTCGATATCATCTCGATTTTAGGTTGTCGTCAAACCGTTTGAAAGATGATCGATCTGTTTATGGTTCGAGTTCGGCGCAGGAATGTTTCATTCCGCGTTCGAGCCGATGTCGGTGGGTTTTCTATCCTACTGCTATAATCCCGGGTATTATCCGGCAGATGCCGGTAACAGTGAAGGAGAAAGAGGGAAGAGCAGATAGACAGAGCCGTCTCTTTGCTTCGACAGCAGACACCTGGTCGACTCGTTCGCCGAAGGTGTCATCCACGTTGACAGATCTGTCAATTGGATCGTCTCGGACAACTTTTTCTTTCAGTTCCTCCGAAATTTTCGGATTCCTATGGAATCGGTTGGAAGTGTATACGGTGGACCGCACATACCTAAGTCAACCGTAAAATCGATGTTCCGAAGTCAGGATCGGGGAATCGGCCCATGAAATCGTCAATAACGGATGATTCCTGATCTTCCTGTTGCATAATAAGAATATTTACAAATTACTTGCCTCACATCGTCAGAATATTATTAATTTAACGAATTTTTTAGATTGTGCAACAACACAATCGACCGTGATTTTTGCGATCGGTTCCATCTTCGGAAAATCAATTGACATTTGCATCACATTTGAGCGTCAGAAAAGATTTCCAAATTTGGACGGTAGGAAACTGATCGTGTACTGGTCCAAAGGGTGTGATAGATATGATAGCGACGGCGTTAGCGCATGTCGCACTGACAAAATGTAAATGGCACCATCCATCTAACTGCCGACAAAAAGGCAGCCGGGGCCAACTGTCGGACCGGCGATTACAGGATCGATTAAAGCCAAACTACCCCTTCGTTTCGTCGGGCCGATCTATCAACCCCACGCGCGTAAACGTGCGAGCGCGCGAGAGGGAAAACATCGCGAGAGAAAGTCGGCCGTGATTTCTCATGTCGATTTCATGTTTATTCTAAATGCCGCGCGAACTGAGCCGCGAACTGATAAAAGAATGTTTTCAAAATTATCCAGATTTTTAATTCCAATTTTCAGAGAAAGACGCTAAGATTTAACATATAGCAATTAATATTTAAAAATGTGTTAATTTTATTGCAAAAATGATAAAAATACTTTATTGCACAAAACAGAGGCTTTACTTAAAATCCTAAATATTAAAATATTATAATCGTAGCAATAGGATACACCTTATGATCAAATTTCTATAACAATATCGGTAACGAATTCTTAGGCTCTCACGAACCTTTTTCAGAATCCGGTGAAGCAAAAAAAGCTCCCTTTCGGTCGATTCGCACGTTATTCCCCAATCCTAATCCTTTTCTCACATCCTCCAGGAAACGCACTTTAGTTCTCGAGGCGCGAGATCAACGAAGGGCGAACAAGAACCTCGAAACCGAAATTCGCCCCAAATTTCCTCGGTGTTTATCCACCCCGAAATATCCCGCGGAAGATCAGGAAGTTTTTATGGGATTATTGGATTAAGGATGATCGCTCTGAATCAATTTTCCGGTCAATTTAGAAATACTAATTAATGTAATCTCAATTAATGGTCAAAATGATAAAATAATTTCAAGCATTGAAATTATTTTTTAATTTCTGGAAAAAATATTTATTATCAGTTTTTATTAATTTCTGAAGTGTATCGCGAAGTGTATCCTTGCCTCTATTATTATTTCCATAAAAGAGACAAGAACAAAATTTTATTTTTAGACAGTAATGTATATTTTTGTGCTATACTTTACAACACGCGTTACTTTAGAATTTGCGAAAGGGAACGTAACAGTCGCTTTTATGGGGATCTCGAGTTATTATCGGGATTCGAATCCAGGAGTTGGTTGCGCCGATAGTTTAGGTATCACCATTACATCACCTGCCGCGAGATTTCTACCTCGTTTTTCCAATCTTGCGGAAAGGGTGAGATAAAGTATAGAAATAAATGTGAAAAAAAAACGCGGAAAAAGGAGGGGAGGCAATTCGCTTCTTTCCCGATGTATCCTGTTCGGTGACGCGTGATCCGCAGGACGACCGACCTGCGGCGTGCCTGCGTGGCGACTAAACCAATCTAAGGCTTAAGTTCACTCGGCCGAAAGACCCCTCGCGTGAAGGCCGGGGTCCAATTTGCCGAATGATTTCAAGAACCCAAGTTAAATGATCAACGCGAAATATCGGTGAAGGAGAGCGGGCGTAAATGAGGACGACACGAAGGAGGACGACGACGGGCGTACTCTCTTAGGAACTTTAGTAAGGAATCAAGATTGATAATGCTTGGGAGGGATGAAAGGGTATATACAGCTTTGTTCTCGCAGTAGTTACCATCGTCGTCATCGTTGTGGCCTACAATGACAACGACGACATAAATACCAACTCCTCTGACTTGAGAGACAGAGAGGAGAGAGAGAAAAATAGAAAGAGAAAGTTATGTCTATTGATTGGTGATTGATTTTTTAACAGACATGCTTGAAAAATAATTTCGCGATTTACCCGAATGCATAGAAATTTATTTTTTACCAAAGTATGATCTAAATTCTAACAAGTATCAATGCATTAGAACAATAAATGTCAGATGAACATTATTTCGCATAAAAACATAAGCCTTACTATATTTTTAGACTTTATGTATTACAAGTATTATATCAGAAACAGGAGAAAGGAGCATATTTTAATATATGTATACAAATATTGCACTTACACCATTAAAAAGTTTTTTTCTTGTATGTTACATGAGAATCATTGAAAATCGTTCATGTGAGATGTCGAATTTACGCCCACGAGATTCTCCTACTCTTCCGGCTACTCGCGCATATTTTCCCTTTTCAGCATTTTCCTTCACTTTTCTTCGTCTACATATTGAAATCGGCGGCGTTTTTTTCCACGCGGTTGCCGGCAACCCCTCTCGAAGTCTCTTGACTCGGATTGGAGACCGTTCGCCTTTCGGAGCGACCACGTGGGAGAAAAGGAGGGCCAGAGTACCGCTTGTTTTTCATGTTGAAGCAGCCGCACGCGCCTCGTCGCCCATACGGGGCACTTTTTCGGCAAATCGGTCGGAAAATTTCGCTGTTAGCGACGTATGCAACTGACAAATTATATTAATGGTAATCCTCGATGTGAAACGTGCCATCGTCAACCGCACGAGTTCCATTGCGTGGTTGATGCGCGATATATATTGCCATATTGATACAAACCAAACGCATTGAGATCAATACATGACTTTTATAATTGCTTAATTTAAAAGAGATTTAAAAAAACCACTTAGACAATCTATGGAGTTAATAATTTTCGTGAAAGCCAGAAAAATGTCATACTTATTTACAAAATGATAATTTATTCTTTTACGTTCATTGTAATTATCACATCGAGATTCATTTTTCTCGTTTCCTACCGGAGTTCATGAAATCGCAGCATCCAAGATATATTTATCCTTTCATAAAATTCCTCGAAAGCGTGAGTGGGGCATCGGTAGGGATCGCATTGTCGATATTATTAAATTGTTGGTCCATCCTGAAGTAGGTATTTTAGACAATTCGCGCGTCCGCCGTTTCAGACATACAATAGAGCACATCGGTTGCCTATTATCCACAGACATTGTCCATGCGAACTGGTCTTTAGGGCGTTACTGGAGGTCAAGCCCCGGAAGTGATTCGACAATGAGGTACATTATGCTCTTCCACCTTCCCCCCCTTCCTTCACCACCTCCTCCTATCCTCCTCGAAGGCCGATCCTCGTCCTTATTAACTCCCTTAGCACACGTAAGTGCAACGCGATCATCTTTCTCCTGCATCCAGGGTTTCGCATTAGGTATTTTCAAATCGATACCCGAATGGTCAGCGGGATTTCGCGTTCGCCAGTTCTCAAGGCGTAGGGTTACGGTCTGCCTTGCGATTTCCCGTATTTGAATTTGAAATAGGAGAAAGAGGCGTCGAGGAGGCGAACTGTGGAGAGAACCTGCGCGGAATCGTAGTGGCCGAAATCGAAGAGAGAAAAAGAAATGGCAAGAAACAAGTGACAATCAGTGACGCGGGGATCTCCGGTATTGTCCGAGCTGTCACACGTCTGACACGCCAGGATATCAAAAGATCCCCGTCCGGTCATCTATGCGAATATATGTACCGGTCAAGAAGACGTAACAACTATGTAATAAGCAGTTGCGGCACCCTGTGTATCACATTTATTAATTTAAATGTTAATTTAATTTCGCGAGACAATATTCTAATGGCACGTACGCTTTTTCATGGACTATGTTACCTGTGTTTAAATATTCAAATTCTGATATCTGTAAATCAGGATAAGAAATTTCGTTATTTAAAAAATGCGCTACATAAAAGCATGCCTTGCAAGAGTTTGCGATGCACAAGAATACAATGTATTTTTTACGATGTTGTTTTTTTTAATAAATAAAATCGCGTTTGTCCCGG